CTCTTTCCACTCCGGCCTTCCCTGTCAGATTTCCCCCCACACTGGGTGTCATTGCAGTGGTGGGATGAAGGTAAGCGAAAGCTGAATTGGAAACATGTTCGTTTAGGCTTAGTGATGTGTCTGTACATCTTGCAATCAGTTCTCCATAGAGTTAAGTTATTGCTCGCTGTTCCAAAGGAAGAAAAGGCTTCTAGGTGTGACATAAAAGTCTCACAGTATATGTGTTCTGTGGGTCATCCCGGTATTCTAGTTCAAGAAAAAGCTGCCTTTTCCTTACCCCGACGTTACTGACCATTTTGGTATTTTGTAACTTTTTTTTCTCCTTCAGATTTCTCTCTCAGATGGAGTGTTTTAAACATAAATGACAAGTTACAATTTTTTTTAAGGAATCTAAGTGTAATGTTTACCCTAAAGAAGCTTCTCAAGCCTAGTAATGATACCGAAGTGGGGCAGGGAAGTGCTGGGAAGGGAAAGGCTGGTCCTTGGCTAGGGCTCCACCCCCGTGCCTGTGTCCAGGGGCCTAGCTGGAGACAGGCATTTTTGTTTTCCTGCCCAAATGTTGCGCTTCCCAAGACCACCCCGGTCTGCCCATCCCCATCCTGTGCCCATAAAAATCTTGAGACCCTAGCAGGAAGATGTACAAGCGGCTACACTCAGAGAAGCACATCAGCAGAAGACACGAGCATGGAGGGGAGCATGCTGGAGGAAGAGCACCTGACAATCCTGGCATGCCAGTCAGCCACCCACTGGCAAAATGAGGCAGAGTTTGGCTGGGGCAGTCGGAGGAGAGCCCAGGCTGCTGAGAGGCCGACTCCAGAGGAAAACCGTCTCCCTCCTGGCTCCCCTATCTGCCGAGAGCTACTTCCACTCAGTAAAACCTTGCACTCATTCTCCTAGCCCATGTGTGATCCAGTTCTTCCAGTACACCATGGCAAGAAAGCCCTGGGTACAAAAAGCCTCTGTCCTTGTGATAAGGCAGGGGTCAATTGAGCTGAGTAGCACAAGCTGCCTACTGATGGCTAAAGTAAAAGAGCACCCTGTATCACACACCCACTGGGGCTTCAGGTGTAAATTCACCCCTAGACACCGCCGTTGGGTTGCAGCCCCACAGCCTGTCTGCATGCTCCTAGAAGTTTGAGCAGTGGGGCAACGGCACTGAAGAAATGAGCAACACTCATTGCACGCCCAGCCTGGGGGACAAGGGAACTTTCTGCGTTTCAGTAACATGAGTATGTTGACATTGAAGTGTCTATAATTTTTCTTAGGCTGGGAAGAGAAGCCCAGACTATCTCTAGTGTATCTTGCTTTTATAGAGATATAAACAAATTTGTTCAAAAAGTTGATAAACCTTGATTATGCCTCTGTAATGACAATTTGGAAAGACATTTTGGGACATTTTAGTAAAACAAGTGAGAAATGGCATGCTGTTGTTTGGGACATATTCAAAGAGTTTCTTTTTTAATTATCTACCTTTATTAAAGAACCAAGAGAAAACTCAATAGAATGTCATATAATATGAGACAAAAGAGAAAAATATGAGCACTGACATTGATAGAAATTAATCTGACATCTAGGAGCAAATCACATTTTTTTTACAGTCATACCTAAACTAGTTCTTTAAGACAAAAACAGAAAATAGAAGTAATAAATAGACCCCTGGGATTGTTTGATAATCAAATTAATGAAGAGAAGTGAATCATATGAACATATTGGGAAAAATATTTACCTTTTTGACTAGTTTAAGACAAAATATTGTCGTTGATGAAGATAGTATAAAACTTATAAATTATAAACTGGTTAATGAATGTTATAAATTCAAGGGATAGTTAAGATTAGTCACTGTACAAGAAAACTTGAAATCCTTAGTTTATCTGCTTGAGCATATAAGAGCTTATATGTATAACCTTAGAGCTTATATGTTACATTTGATAAATGGGTTTCTAAATTTGACAACAATCCTTAGAAGTGTAAACTGCACTACTACCAATAAGGACATTTTTTGTAATTATCTATAATGAAAAACAATTTTCAGTTATTTTGAAGAATAGACTAGATCCCAGATTTTTTTTGATTCTAATATCTTTGTAGAAAATTGTACTTTGTAGAAAATCATAATGTGAAGAGGTGCTCAAAGAGTGTCTGGTAAAAAAAAAACAACAAAAACAAATTACAGAAATGTTAGGCAGTTTACTAATAAAGATTATTATTTAAATTTTTATTTTTTGTGGAGTTTATAAGTACTGAGGAATTTTTAGATTGTTGCAATTTGTTTTCTAAGTAGATGTTCACTTTTGCAATTAGTTTTTTATTCTTTCTCTTAAAGAGGGACTCTGAATTGTATAAATTTCAGGCTCTATCCTTTGGTATCAGTGTTTGATCTGAAAAATGTTGCCAGGTAAACATACATTTTTTTCCTCTTCTTTTTGTGGCCATGCAAAGCATAGGCTTTGGATTTGCTGATCTGATTGGGTTATGACAAAGAGTGTTACCGTCTCCTAGGAACTTCTCTTTGGGTTGAGCTGGCAGTATAACTCCACAAGCATCATTAGCAGCCTCAAGCAAGAGCTTCTCCTCAAGAAGCAATGCTGTGAAATACGACCCAACATCTTGTCTCATTAGAATATTACTTTCTGTGTTGCTGGACTAGGAGTTAGGAAATATATATTAGTGACACTAAGAAATGGTGTTTCCGATTTCATGAATCTGGATGGTCCTTGAAATAGTTTTATTGAGAAGCTTATGGTCCATGGAGGCAAAGGTTATTGGTGAAAAGAGCAAGTGAGTGACAAGGAGTCATAAAAAAGGAGACAAGTCTTGGTTCCACTGAATGGACAATGGGCAATGAATACCATGTGCAAAAGATGTTACTTTCCACTTCACAATCTGTGTGGTCCCTAGAATTAGCTATTTCAGAACCAGAAAAACTGCTTGAGAAAGTGGTTTCAAATAGTCACAAAAAGTTATGTATTGAACCCCTACTGCATGTCTGGAATTGAGCAGGTACTGGGGATATATGAATGACTTAGGTTGTGGTCTGTCTTCTTACGGAGCTGAACAACTTGTTAGGAACACAGGAAACTGACATCAGAATACAATTTTAAGTTTAACTTTATGAAATTGCCTTTTTATTGTAGGTCAATAATGGTTATTTCATATGATTGGCAATTTCATATGATTGAATATCAGTAGTCTCACGCGGTTCAACATGAATAGCTACAGAGGTGATATTTTTTCGTTTAGTGGGCCAGCACCTGGTTAATGAATGCAAGAAGTTATCCACCCAGTCAGTTTGATAAGTGATCAAGAAAACTCTTCCATACATTGCTGAATACAAAAAGTGAGAGTGAAGGGGATGGTGGGGAGGTGTCATCTCTCATTTTTAAATCCTTGCAATTTTTACAGAAATCAATTCAGGCTTGGTTGACTGAAAAATATCCCCTGAGCTGGAAACTGAAGAGGACTGTGGACTCAGTTAGCTGGAGGAAGTATGTGAGTTCATTCTTCCCTCTACACTTGCAAAAGTGAATGGGGTGGAATGGAATTGCAGCAGGCTTCAGGCAGGGAGGAAAAGGACAGAAAAAGAGAAAAAGGTGAAGGGACTGCGGACAGGAAGCGGAAGGTGGGCTATGAGCCAGAAATAAAAATTAAAAATTTAAAAGTAGATTCAAGGTCAACCCGTGAAGATTCTTGAGTGAACCTGGATGTTATTCTGAAGGTAATGGACATCCCTGGAAAATCCAGGGAAGAGTGTTTCAGGAAGACTCCACTGGGTTCTTGCTTTCTGCATTCTGTACTCCTCCCAGAATTCATCGTCTAACAGCTGCAAACCTGCCCATAGGCAGGTGAATTCAAAACCCTGGAGACAAATTATTAGAGGGGCTTGGGTTGGCTGTTGTGTACCAAGAGGGCACAGCAAGTCGGGGGTGCTTCAACCTTTCCCGAAAGGAGTGAAAGATCAGCTCTAACTCTTAGAAAAATAGCAGTACCATTACTTAGAAGGAATAATTTGCATGTGAATACACTCTATTTGTGTTTTCACACAATGTTTATGTGTTTGTGTGTGTTAAATGTGTTAGATTCAAAGCTAAGCCCTAGAAAAACCAGGACACACAGAAGAATGACTGGAGCTCAGCAGTATGAGTAGTCTGGTCTATAGGACAGCAAAAACATATCTGATGTGTTCCACGGACTAAAGTTCCAAGCCACTAGGTATATCCACTTCACACAGCCTTCTCTTTGTGTGGTCACTTCTCAGGAATGTTGGTGAGAAACAACCAATATGAAAAGGTTCCACCACTGTAATATTCTAGATATTTGACAAGACAATGGATGAGAATGAAAATGATGCATGTACAGTAACATTAATATTAGAAGTAAACAATACCACAGGTGGTGATAAGTGCCATTAAAATATAAAGCAGTTCAAGAGGAAGAGAAATGAATGGATGTTTGCCCTTTCCAGAGAGGGTGGCTTTGTAAATGCGAGGACATCCAGTTTCCTTTAGGGATTGTTCACCGGTCTCATCATGTTCTCTTCTCGAGGTATTTAAATAACAGGATCCACTTTAATAAAAAGTGTCAAACTCCTCACGCCTTCACTAGCAGTCAGAAGAGCACGCGTATGGTCTGCACCATATAATTTAGCCGCGAACGACACCTGCCTTGCTTTGTTTTCTACTGTGTTAGGCGTCAGCCTCTTGTGCTCAGAATAGATCTGAAGCTCCCTGAAGGCAAGAAAGAACCCGGCCCAGACTGCGCCCGGCACGCAGAATGCTCGGAGGAAGCACAGGCTGATTTATGGAAAACACAGCAAGGGTCTTCAATTTGGAACTACAGCTCCGCCTTGGAGATGCTTTCCGCAGCCTGCGCGGCCGCCCACGGGGGGCACTGTCTCGCTCCCCTCGCCCCCAGCCGCTGTCCCTTGGTGCTGTTCCCCGCTGCGGCCGGGAGGAGGCGCCACGGACTCGGGCTAAGCCTCGTCCCCCTTCCGTCCTCCTTCCTACCCCGCTTCCCCAGCACATGACGTGGGAAGCTGCCTCCGCCGGAGTCTTAGCAAGAGGAGTGAGGGGGTGCAGGGGCTCGGGGGTGGGGTGGGGAGGGGGGTGTGGAGAAAGAGGACACGCGTGCTCACGCCCGCCCCTGGGAGCAGGAGCAGCACCTTCCCCAGCTTCGTGGGTTCCTCCTCCCACCGGAGCCAGGGTGTGAGAGGTAGGGGCGGGGTGTGCCCGTGTGTGTGCGGCACGTTTCTGAGTGTGAGACCCAAATCCAGACCAGGCGACCTGCGCTCCCCGCGCCTCCCCCCGCTTCCCGGTGATTAATACCCATTTTTCTGACGCTCCCCTCCTCCCCTCCTCCCCTCCTGCTCTGCCTCTCCGGCTGCCGCGAGGTTGACTTGCACAGCCTGCCCCCGCCCGCTTCCCTTCCCCCGGCTCCGCTCCTCACCAACTGGAATCTGGGCTCCTGCCTCTCCACCCCCCACCTCCTTTTGAGAAAGGAAGGTTCCCCCCACCCCCTTTCAAAAACCACTTCCTCCGGCTTCTTCACCTCTAGGAAATCTCGGGGCTTCGCTCTGTCGAGAGTGCTCATCACCACCATCCAGAAGTGCTGGCGTCCGAATGCACATCCCTTTGCCTTGCAAAGAAGAGTCGTGAACTTCAAAGCCCCCGAGACGGATCATTAATCCTGCTTTGCAGGAAAGGAAAACCCTCCATCCCCAGCCACCCGCCACCCCTCTCCGGAGACTGCAACCGCGGAGGCGCTCGGAACCGGTACGTCAAGATTCGCTTTGGAGTCTCTCCTTTCAGTGTAGAGGTTTGGGGGTGTCAGGCAGATAAAGGGTCGAAGCCGTGAAACCCTGAACCAGCCTGGCCGGAGGCAGAGCTCTGAAATCCAGCAGAACCCCGCACTTGCTAATTTGGACGTGGCTTTTTTTTTTTTTTTTTTTTTTTAAGGTTTTTTTGGTGTGTGTGGGGGGGAGGGGGTGCTGTGACTGGGTAGGGCTGTCTCTGGTCTTTTGGGGGATTTCATCCCCTCACCCAGCAGAGAGGCCAGGCAGCGGCGCCCGGGCCGGACCCACGCGCCGAGCCCATCCGTCCAATCGACACGTTGCAGGTGAAGCCCGGTGCGCTGCACCCCAGCGCGGCGGCAGCGTGAGTGTGCGCGGGGGTGAGTGTGCGCAGGGGTGAGTGTGAGTGCGCGCGGGGCGCGTGCGCGCGCGTGTCAGTGTGCCCCTTCCAAGAAATGCCCAGTGTGCACCCCGTGCACAATCAGAACCCATTCAGCACGAGCCCGGGGTGGGAGGCGGCGCTGCTGCTGGAGGCGATGGGGAGAGCGAGACAGACATGTCAGCAGCAATGCAGATGGGGCTGGGGGCCGCACTCGCTGGCGAGTTAAGTGGGGATTGTGTTTCTGCGTGTGTGTGAGTGTGTGCTGCTGTATGGTGCCGCTTCTCCCTCCCTTCCTCCTTCCTTCCCACTTCCCTCCTTCGCTCGCTCCCTCCCTCTCTCCTCTTCCATTCAGGTTGGCTTTGCCACCTCTCATCCGTGCCTGTCCCAGGAATGGTATAGCCAGACCTTTTCTGAATTATTTATAGACCGGTACCAGCTGTTTTCAATTCCTCTCGTGTGCACTCTGTGGGAAATGCGGGGTTTCCTCCCCCCTTTCCTTAAAACGAATTGATATCTTTTTCGGAATGCATTTTTCTCACCCTCTGGGGGACACGCAAATCAAGCCCTGACCGCCTCTTTTTCCCCCTTAGGAAGGGGACGCTTTGGGAATGACCATGCTCCACCGAGGGACGGAGCCGGCCCCCAGCTTCTCCACACAGAGCCTCCTCCACTAACGCTCCAAAAACCAAAAACCGTAATTGCCAGAAGAAGCGTTAAAAATCTATTCCAGCCACTAACCTCACATGCACACGGAATAATTACTCTGGATTCTGCATTGTGAGCTGCTCTTCATACCCTGAACTACCTTTGAATTAAATCTTTTTTTTTTTTTTTTGAATTTACATCTCTTCAAGACACAAGATTAAAACAAAATTTACGCTAAATTGGATTTTAAATTATCTTCTGTTCATTTATCCTTCGTCTTTCTTATGTGGATATGCAAGCGAGAAGAAGGGACTGGACATTCCCAACATGCTCACTCCCTTAATCTGTCCGTCTAGAGGTTTGGCTTCTACAAACCAAGGTAGGGCAAATTCTATTTTATTTTTTCTTTACCTGGGGTAGAGATTCTCCTTTAATCTATCTTTTTCGAGTCCCTCAAGTGGATCTTTTTGGAAGAAAAGGTCACAAGATATTAAAATAATGCTGTTTTGGGGGGAAAGGCTTATTACAAAGAAGGAAATCTCCCATGTTTTTTTCTTTTTATTCTCTTATCAAACAGGTTTTGGGTTTTGGGGAGGCAGTGGGGGTGGGCGTATGTAGGCACAAAAGATGTTGGATGGCATCAGGGGGATATATATAGAGACACAGCCAGCCAGGAGACCTGTGTGATTTTCGAGTTAAATAGCATTTTATTCACCCAGAGCTAAAGCTGCGATTTGTATGGGAATCTAGAAATCCTTTTTTTTTTTTTTCAGGCTGGCTTTTTCCCCTTGTCGCCTTCATGCCTCTCTCCCTGTCTCCTGTCTTTACCTTCCTAGGCAGCCTTTCTATACCCTTTAAAACAGATAAAAATAATGATTGAGATTACTGTGATTGCTGCCCTGAAATCCACTTGCTGTCTAAAGGGTTGACACCGGGCCCAGAGATCCTGGGAGGCCTATTGCAGAGGGGCAGGTCTAGGTGGGGATCGGGCTGGTGTAAGAACACCTGGAATTGAAGGATGCTGCAGGTTAAGAGGACTTAAATCTTAAGCTCAGAAAGGAGGAATTCTGTCAATATTCTGCTTTTAATTTGTATTTTTTCCTGTGCTATTATTTTTGAGCTGTAAATTTCTCCTTCTGTCTACACATCTATTTATACCCACACATCCTCCAAGCAAACTGTTACTTCCACACTCTTGCAAAATGGCTATCTTGCAGAGTTCTAAAATGCAGTGCATGTGGAAGGGGTGCAGAATTCGACACGTGAGTCTTTGTGTTAAACAAAGAGATTTGCTGTTTGCATGTGTTAGTCTTGTACCCTCAGAAATGGAATTAATACCTGAATATTTTCCCTTTCATCAATTTTTACAATATGTGAAATGTGATTAAGCAGTATTTTAATGTACTTGAGAAGAGAAATAGCAGGAGAAATGGAAAAGACTAATGACTCTTCGGCTAGTCCCTCATGCAATCCAAGACAACTCTTGAGAAAATCAGATCATTCATGGGTCGGAGGGCCACGATGGTGAGTGGGCTGCTCCTTTTCTTGCTCCACTGACCATACTTCCCTGAACTCTGAAGGCGTGTAAATGCAGGGATCAGATTGGGATAAAGATCTCCAAAACCATGTAGCAGAATCAGTAGCATCCTTATTCTTCCTAAAAGTATTACCACCCTGCAACACACACACACATTTTTTCCTGGCATTTTAAAACAACAATTCTTTGATAATCCAAAATACCAAAAGGATGTGGGGAAGAGGTGGAAGATCTTTGTCACACAATGTGACAGCATGAGATAGTTCTTCATTATCCAGAAAGAACAGATGTAATCCAAATTCACTAACCCCCTTCCCCAGGTTTCATTCTTTTGAGCTTTTATTGCTGAAATGCTACTCTGTAGTCATGGTGTAATCAGAGTGAGAGGGTGGGATCCCACTTTGAACCATGTTCTCACCATGTCTACAAATAGCTGAGGTTATCTTGTGTGCGCTCACCTTAGAGACACCTGAGCTCATTCCCCATCTGCTTCCACTCCAAGTAGGAGGAGGAACTCTTTAATTTGACTTCAAAATAGAAAAGAGGTATGGGTGAGAAAGGCAGCTCCATGTGCAATGCTTTCATACATACAGATGGACAAGGAGAGGAGGGCATTGATGAGGCACTGGGCCCCTTTGGCATCCCCAGTGCTACAACACCAGTGCTTTACACCCAGCAGGTCCTTTGGCATGTTTGTCGGTGATGGGGTTGACAAAGGGGGTTGTTGGACAGGATCTCAGCTACTTCATTTACCTTGAATGCCCACGGATGCAGCCAGGTTCCAGGCTCTCATTAGTTGTCCCTAAGACTAGGTGAGGTTGAAAGGTGAGGGTGTTGAGGAAGAGAGGGAAAAGCAGATGGAAAAGCTATAAAGGGAAAGGAGAGGTAATCCACCTGGAAATAGCTTGTTAGGATTCAAGGTGGAATCGCCACAGGTGGTCTGTGCCTTTTCACCATCCAAAGCCGTTTTGGAGGCCCCAGTAAGGAAGCAGGTGTTCCCCATCCTCGCGGGCAGTATCTGTGAGGCTGTGACTCAGTGGTGTTCTGAGCCATCTCAGGGCCCTTGTTCTCATCCCCCTTTCCCCCCCTCACTGTACAGAGCTGACTGGGTTCTGTGTTGTCTTTTCTCCTTCAGCCACCGCCTTACAATGGGAGTGACATGGGAAAGAAAGGTGGCTGCTGGTGGGAGGATGAGCAAATTTAGTTCAATTGAGGAGCCTCCATGATGTACAAGTAAGAAAAATAATAATAATGGGAAAGGTAGGTTCCCAGGAAAGCAGTTACGGGCGTTAGGTGGGTGATTTCAAGAAAAGCAAGACAACATGGTTATCTTCTGTGTCTGTGTTTCAGGTGTGGTAGAGCATGGCGGATCTGTGCACACAGTGCTATGGCAGTTCAGAGTTAGGTGTTAGGTGAGGAGAGGAGCAGGGAGTGCCACTGGATTGTCTCATTTTTCCTCTCCCATTCGTTCCATCCCTAGGAAGCCTGTCTGTCTGAAGATCCTTGTTTTGCTAACGTATATATGCGTTTTTTGCCAGGGATGGATGCAGACAGAGAGAATAAGAAGGTAAAATGACAGGAAAGGAGAGGAAAGAGAAAAAAATCCTCTCTTCAGTACTTTGCACACCAAGTGCTTTTCTTTAAGGCCGATTGAGAAGAGCGACTTCCTCTGGGGAAGGGAGGAAGAGCAGGAACCTGATTTGTGTTCTTGGTGTACCTCCAGAAAGATAGCGTCGGAATCTTGATCATCTTCCTTGACCTTCATGTACATGCACCCAGTCCTGTGTGGGGAGGGGCAGGAGTCACCTGGGAGGTGGACACCTGGACTGAAACTGGCTGGTGGAACGAGTGGGATTTGACTGGGAGAAACAGTCCTGAGCTGATCCAGCCCTTGGCCGCAATATTCACTTTCTTCCAGCTCCTCTGTGAGCACAATACACCCAGGGAGCAGGATTGCTTTTTCTATATTCTTATTTAAGAATCTGAAATGAACATGACATATCTACTACTACTAACAGGTTAAACAAAACATTTTGTTAATATTTATGGTCTATAAAAGGAGACAGGTGAAAGGACAAATTGTATGGGAGGAAATCATAGCCCCAGATCAGCATCTGGATGCCAGAAGAGAAAAAAGCCAGGGTCAAACTGACCATTCTAAAGGTGGTAAAACCATTGTTTGAAAGGATAGCCTTGTGTCTTCAATAATGAAGACTGGGGCCGACAAAACCACTTACCTTGTATATCTTGTTGGAATTGAAAGTGGATGAGCTAGAAAAATTAAGCTGCTTCTTTTCCTCAGTGCCATTCTATCCCATCCCTAGGAATTCTAGAAATTTCTTTCACTAGACTACATTTTCAGTTGCTGCTCCGGTGCATATGACTGGATACCAGCATTGTCTCTCACTTTAAATAAATATAGATCAAAAGAGTTAGTGGTCTAATGAATTGTTCACATTTATTAAAGTGCATCTCCTCTTTGCAACCACAAGAAGTCGTCTCTGGGGAGAGTAGATTAGTGGTTGAATTGATGTTATCTTCCAGAAGGAGGCCAAAGCTGGAACAGAATGTAGTCAGGACGAAAGAGCAGGCGTAGCTCAGAGAAGGTGGGTTTCTGAGGTTCACCTGCGGCTGTTAATGGTGCCTGTGGCCATTACACAGAATCCATTGTGCCATGAACTTTTGGGGGTATTGTGAACCCATCGAGATGTGTTTATGAACCTTTGGTTGTTTTCTTGGTGTTCTCCAACTACCTTATTTTTGGTCTTTTCACTTCCTAGCACTTTCAGCAGAGGTTGGCAGAGAAGGGACCTGGTGCACATCTGTGTTGTCCTATTGGTGAATCTCTCCATGGCTGCCCCAGGCTGTGGGATTGCCTTCCTTACTGGTCTTCACCAGCATGTGCTCATGCTTCTTAGTTTATCCTGATTTTGTTTATATGTTGTTTCCCTAAGAAGTTTGTGAGTTCCTCGAGGGCAGAGAGGTGTTTTATTCATCTTAGAATTATTTGTGCTTAGCATAGTGACTAGCACATAATAGATCCTCAGAAAATGTTAAATAAATGAAAGGAGAAAGGAAGTGAGATATTAACTAGTCTAGGACGTTACCTGTGGTTTGTTCTGTTGGGTTTAGGGAGGGTTAAATTTACGCCGTTAGATGAGATCAAGAATATCAGAGCTATGTGACACTTTAGAAAACATCTACTCTGAACTCATTTAATAAAGAAACTGAGATTCAGGGACATTAAGTGATTTTCCTGAAGTTGTATGACCTCTTAGTGCTATTGCTTTGTACCCCATGCACTAGCATTTCTCAGGGTGAAATGCAGAGGTTATCTGTGGATTTTAAATGTCTACATCAGTGCTTCTCTAACTTTACCATATATTGAAATCATCTTGAGGTTTTGTGAAAAGGCATATTCGAATTCAGTAAGCCTGGGCTGGGCCTCCACAGTTTGCATTTCTAACAAGCCGTCCTTTGACACCATAGTTGCTGGACATTGCATCACAGGTCGACACCATCCCTGCATTTAATTGTAGACCATGGTTAGTGGTCTTGGCACTAGAATATTGGCAGTTCTGCTCGTATTCTACTTTTGGGATTCCAGCACTTCTGCTTTGTTTTTTTAGAAAAAAAAATCAGAAAGAAACCTGTATACTTCAGTTCAGCCATCTCCTCTCCTCTTTCACTCTTTCACCTGTGCACATCTTTTGCCTGCTCTTTTCCTTCTGTGCTCTCTATTCTTGTCATTCTTACAACTGATTCTTTTCTTATTTTTCCTTTTATATTCTCCCACTTTTTAGTTTATCTTTTTATTAATGTCTCCTCATTACTTTTACACT